CCCAGGTAAAAAAATAAAACCTTCTACCAAAGGTATTCCACTTAAAATTGAGAAGAGCTTCCCCATTCCAAGTTTTATAAAATTCTGAGTCAATTGATTTTGCAAAACTACTAGGCTCCGGTAGTATTAATTCTTTCCAAAAACTATATTTACTAGGATAATTAACAAATCTAGTTAAAGGAAATGTTAAAACCACAAAGTGCTTAAAGTCTACAAAGTGCTCTTCATAGAAGTATCTAGTAGCTCTTATGAAATAAACCTTTGATAACTTTTGCATAAAAAGATCAAATTGAGCAAAAATTTTATATATTAAAGTATCTAAAAAAGATGTATATAATTGATTATAAAGTCCAATATGACTTAGGTGGTTTGTAGAAGTTCCTTTTTCTAGAATTTTGGTTAAAAAGTATTTATCAGAAGTAATAAAAAATGATATTTCTGTCATAAAATCTGTCACAAATATTGAGTTTTCTCTTGATAATTTTGTAATTGATTGAGAAATTATACTGAATAATTGGATATTCGGATCATTTATGTTAATATTTATTTCAAAAAATCTTCTATATAAATTTTCCATTAATTTAGTTTCGTTAATTTGAACCAATTTTGTCATAAGATTACTTCCATAGATAATTAAATAAAATTCATCTTTAGCATACGTTTCCAATAATTCTTCAAACAAATAACTTGCTTCTTGATCACTCCTGCTAGTAACAAAGTGTGGTGATGGAAGAAAACTATCTGAAAATGTAACTTCTTTAAAGATCTCTTGCATATTTTTACCTTTATTTGAATAATAATAAATCAACTTAATTTTCTTAATTCTTGTATTAAATGTCCAAATAAATACGCCTTTATCTGTAAGCAAAACTAAATCGTCATTGTAAAGACAACTATATTGCATTACAAATTGCTTATTTTTCCATCTATCTAAAATAATATCTCGTTCATCTGGACTATCTAGAGTTTTTGCTTTAAGTATAGCTTTCTCTGAATCACATTTCAAAGTCCACTTAACTAAATTTCCACATGTTAAATCAAAAAATTCATTGCTCGTCGGAGTTTTAGAATCATTAATCATACTCTCAACTATTTTTCCGCCCGAAGGTATGGTGATCCTATTATAATCTTCCAGATCTTCTCGTAAGTATTTGATCCAGTTTTTATGAATTAAATTTTTGATTGATAAATTTCCATCAATAAGACCTATAGTTTTATTAAATGCCACAACGCATGGACATTGAAATTTTGACGAACCAAATTCAAAAAGTTTATCAGCTGCAATAGATTTCGCATATGAGTATGGATCTCTTAACTCGTAATTAATTCGACCACTTTTGTCATGAGACACGACGAGTAAACGCTCTCCATTTTCTGAAGCAATTATATCGAATACGTCGATAATCTTGGTTTCAGGATACATATCTATAATAATAAAAAAATGACATTAATATATTGGTCGAAACTAAATTATTATTATGATTATATGTACTTATATACATTATTTAGTGTTAAGAACTTACATGTTACTAGCTTCATTCCATTATTAGCCAAATAGATTGTTAAACTCAGAGAAGGTTCCTTTTTTTCCATATATTTAGTTGTATATACTAATAATAATGATTCATTGTAATTTAGTTTTATATCATGAATTTCATGAACGTTGCTCAAAAAATATTGCGCCTCAAATAATGAAGACTTAATATCCCATTTGGTAATGTATCCAGATCCAAATCTAGAACCTTCAAATATAAACAATTTTTCACTTGGTGTTACGAACACTCTGGTACTGGGTGATCTTTTAAACGACATTGTTGACTTGCAAATCAATTCTGTTGTTTCTTTTGTTTTTTTTGGAGTCAAGACATATGCACTAGATGCACCAAGGTTGATCATGACGATGTCCCCATTTTTCATAAAGGCTGAATGAGAAACGTCGATTGGTATAGTAAAATTTGGCAAATAAAGCCATCTGGTTTTAAAATCAAAAATTCCTTTAAAAAAAAAAAAAAAACAAATTGCAAATAAAATAAATTACAATGTAAAAATACAAAATTTTTAGATTCTATGATATCTTATTTACAAGAATATGTAGGGATAGGAATATTCGGTTTAGTTCGATTTGGTTTGATTTAAATTTTATAATTTTATTGATGCATCTACGTATTAGATTTAAATTAAACAAAAACAAACTAAATCGAAGTTCCCATCCTTAAGAATATGTAAGTAATTTATCCATCACCTAATATGAAAGATTACTATTATTTTCACGATACTGTAACTATTTTCCCATTGAAATTACGACAAGGAAGAATGCATCATTGTTTTCCAGTCATAACACAAAAGAAAATGACATTCTCAGACACCTCTTTCAGTGAACTCAACAAAGAACATTGTTGGTCGTTTATTAAACAGGACAATCAGAAAGGTGCATGAGAACGCCCTAAATCATAAAGTAGTAAAATTACCGCCGTTCGATTTATAATAAAATTCATGATTTAAAAAAAACCTACCAATTTTAATTGGCTTTTTATCATCCTCGTTTGGTTTAGCATCTTTCTCAAAAATTTGCATCAAAACAAGCTTATTGTCAGAAACAGTAAATAATTTAGAATATTCACAATACTTTGACATATACAAATTATTATATTTATCATAAACTTCACGATCTAAAACTTTTCTATATTCTGTCATCATATGTTCATGTTTCAATTGTTGTCTATCATCATCAATATGCCATCCAACAACTGAATTATCTTCACTACACCATGTAGCAATATATTTCATATTAGGCGAACACACTATCTTTGTTACCCGCTTGCCATTGTGCGTAATATCTGGTTCTATTTGGATGCTTTCAAAAATCCTTGACATTTTTTATTGCTATACAAGTTTAATCTCAGGAGAGAGAAAGACGTCAGTTGAATCTAAAACTTTCTCTAGATTCCGATCTTAAAATTTTGTAAGCCATGCTTAGATGACAGTTGTCTCCGCAAATATATCACTGTTACACGAAAAAACTTAACCAATTTAAAATATGTATCGATATATCATTATTATATTATCGTTAATTTGTATCATGTTTTTTGTGTATTGGTGATATATTTCGGCAATTATAAATAAAGCTGTGATAGATTTAAGCCTGATTGTTTGTATAGTTTTATTTGCTTCATAAAATGTTGCTTTCTTGATAGAAAAGTATGATATCAATACTTAAATAATAGCATAATCCCAGCATCAATTAAGACCATTTAGTAATTAGTATTTGAAGGCATTATTGTTGTCATTATCATAAAATTCTTTGAAGGAATGAGGCCAGATGCGGTCATATAATTTTAATAATTTAATAAAAAATATGGCTTTTGATATTTTTTTATTAGAATCCTGAGGTGGGTATACAAATTTTTTTTTTTTCACGTTTTAGCTTCGTCAGCTGACAAAAATTCTCGGGTTGATTTAAAAAGATTTAAAAACTGATGATTGAGAAATTTTTCATACTTAAAATTAACTGCCTTTGTGTCCTAGTGAATGTTTTCTTGTGCGATTTTATCATTATACGTACTATTTTTAAATTTATATCCTAGGTCAGATCAACTCGATTTACATCTCTCTTCTACATTCCACTTAGTAGAAAAAAATCAAGACAAATGTTTGAGTGCTGCCAAGGGAAAATTGAACTTTGGTCTTTCAATATATTTTGTATTGGATACATTCCTAACAAATTAGATAGATTGTGTCCAGTTCAAATTGTAATCGAAAGACCCCATATTCTCTTAGCAGTATTCAGAGATTTCAGAAAAATTTTATTAATTTTATTATAAAATTCCCTCACCTTCCCATCCCTTTAGGGAGACAGAAATAATGTAAACTGCTAAATCAAATTAGTCTGACCTTACCTTAAACTAAATATTGTTTTTTAGCTCTTGTACTGAATCTTCATAATGGGAGTATTAAGTTCTAATTAATTGTTTGAAAATTTTACACCATTTTGCAACTATCTTAAATAGAAGGCTTTAACAAGGTGTTTCATAAATAACTTAATATTTTATTTAAGAAGGTGGTTTTATGCTAGTTTACAATTTAAAATATCCGATCTATAATATATAATTAGTGCAACACGCGGTGCTACGCATAATCGGGTATGGTCAAAGTAACATAATATTTTAGTGCATAGTTTTAACAACAAATAAATACATTGGCTCGTAAATTCATATTTACATACCTGATATTCGTATATATCACCGAACAATTATTTAATTTATTTATTTGTTTTTTATTTTTCTTCGCACGAAAACTCAAGATTTTTTGCGCTTAGTCCTCAGAGTTTAAATACATGATCATCAGAGAAGTTCTGACATCATCAGAAAAGTTTTTTTTCTCGATAAGATTAGTGTCTAATTATGACCGCAACAATTGCGTTACAATTTGCACTAACTCAAATAAAGTATATTTCGAATTCTTGATTACTATAATTTACGACTTCCAATATATAGAAAGAAGTTGTAAGCATACCGTAATTTCACGCATACATTAAATAATCACCATTTTTATTTTTTTATACAATTTTGTATGTGATAACCACATATACAATAAAACACATATTACCTAAACCATTATGAAACGGATTATTATCTACACGTAAAATCATGCAGCAAATATAAATCACGCATCATCTTTAAATATACCGTAAACAGAAAAAAGTGATAAACTATATAATTCCTTCTAAATAGAAAAAAATATAAAATTATAGGTCACCAAAAAATTGGACAGAACCATCCTTCACACATATTTCATATGTTCGTGCGTATGTACGTACTGTACATACATACTGGTGTTAGATTATGTAATTTGTATTTGAACACATGACACTTTAAACAACTGGGGTTAATTTTTTTTATTCATTGACTTGAATGGCTTAGTATTCTTTATCGCTATCTAAGTAAATTTAAAATTAAAAATTTGAGGCTTAATGATATCGATATTTATGTATGCGTTCTTAGCCACTCATAAAACATAAATTGCTGAGCTAAGATGTAACTGCAGTATATAACGATAAAGGTTAAATTATTTTATGTTTTATTAAACTGGGATACGTATGATGAGTGTGACTATCAGGAGTGATTACATCGAGGTTAGTCCAACAAGTTATACGTAATATAGTTGATATTTTTAAGCTCTCTTGGTCATGTGATTATGCTAGAGTAAATATTTGCAATTTAAAGCAAATAAACAAAAAAAGTGAGGCGCATTAACAATTATCTTTCCAAAGAATAAAGCCCAATTTTTTTACTGGATTAAAAATTTTGTACGGAAAAAGAAAGAAATGGTCCAAATTAACCCAATTCTTCTAAAATCCTTAAACGTTATTGTATGTCTCTTACTAATAGGTGCAACTATCTTTACACTACTTACATCTGAATCACTCCCGAGCAGCAGTAATATTAATAATGCCACCAATGCACAAAATTCAACCAGTTCATACACTTATCTTACACCCGCAACTTACACTTTTGGAATCCTATTTGTGCTCTATTTTTGGCTTGTTATTTTTGTTATTTATCAATGGTTTGTAGATGAAAGCGAAGATTACAGTGTCGTTACTGATGGTGTTTCTTTTTACTTCATTATTGCTGGAATTTTGGTCACAGCTTGGTTTATTCTATGGGTAATATATTTTTTAATTTTTCTAATCTCTCGCATTTTCCCTGTGCATTTTATTAATTTTATATATATATATATATTTTTGCTTTTAGAAATTCGAATTTTACCTCATTGCTGCAATTATACAATTGCTAGTCTTTGCAGCTGTAGTGTATATATGTTATCTTATCGATTTTTATTATCCTCCTAAAGGATTTTTCGAGAACCTTTTGATTCGTAAATTATTTTCTATTTGGGCAGCTTGTTCTTTATATGCTTTATTTCTAGATTTTTGGATTGCTATCCCTGCTCTTGATACTGTTCTTTTGTCAGTTATTGCTTTAATTATTTTAATAATTGTTGGTTTGTTTGTAGTAGATTATTATCCAAGTCGCGATTTTATTTTTTCTCTTGTTATTGTCTGGATATTAATTGGTGTTGCTATTTATTCAATTAAAGTATTCCCTGTATTTACCGTTATCGTATTAGGAATTGGTTTGATTACTGGTGGTATTTTTAAATCTATTTTTAATATGTTTTATGAACAGCATAAGAGTATGAACATTCTTGATTAAATTTTTAATCTAAATTGTCAACCTTTTTTTGTGTGCATTTTTTTTCTTTATTTAGAAATTATTTATAATTCTTTATTGAATATAAAATTGCTGCATTCTCTTATAACCACATTATTAAAACCAATTAAAATTTGCTTCTTTAATTATATGATTTGATATAATAAATACTTAA